AACTGGGGTATAGTAGGTGGAGAGTAAACTTTGCAAGGTTTAAAAATAAACAACAATAAGCAAGTGGAATAGATGTTCTTTGTACCCACAGACGACAGACTGAAAATTATACTCAAACTGCAGCAAGGGGGATTTAGTCATAAGGGAAAATTTTCTGTTCTAGCACAGATTATTAGAAGGTTGTGTGATCCCTATCTCATGAGGCTCTTTAGAGAAAAGCAAGCATATTTTTTTTTGGATTGTTAGGTGATCCAACTTCCTAATGTTTCTCTAGGCTTCATGAAACCATGATACAGATCTGAGGGATGAGCTGGGGCATAGCCAACCATCCAATACGTTAGGTGACATTTTTACCCTTTTACTGAACCTAGACTTCCCAAATATCTAGTTCTTGCTTGCCTCAGTGTCTCCTTGAAAAGCAGAGAGGAAATTAGGATAACACTGGGCTATATGGATGTGTTAACATTAGAATGAGAATGGGAGCTGTGACATTTCATGAACATTGGCAGTCCAAACATAGAACCATATTGTATAACATTTGGATGGGATTCCCCATCTTTTTTTTTTCTTTCCAAGAGTCAGTGAATAAAGGGAAAAGGCAAGAAGGGAGATACAGGGAGAATGAAAAGTATGAAAAGGAAAAGGTGAACAGAAATGAAAAAATCTCCATCTGGAACCTCAACCAATATGAAATGGTACCCTATCAACATTAGATAAATTGGGAACAGGATAAAACATGGTCTAAACATTTTCTGGCCCAATAAGCAAGACTTGTACCTCTCACTGCAGACGAAAGGGGGGCAAAGTGAATGTGAAGTCAGCAAGCCCAGCTTAGTCTTTAATCATCTTCAGAATGAGAAAATATAGGCCCCCATGATCCTTGACCCCATACCTCATAATATTTTAAAACTAATGAGCCAATAGCTCAGTCCCAAGTAAAACCTCTGCAGTTTCCACTGCAAAGTAAAGAGAAACTGTTTTTTATACATTAAAAGAGGGGGAAAAAGAGTTGATTTAGCATGTCATAGTGGATAAAGGGCTGTAAGACATGGGTTCAAATCTATCCCCTAACACACTCTAGCTGTTGGACCATGGGCAAGTCATTTAAACTCTTGGTATCTAAATCAACTCTCTAAGATGACTAATTATAGATGACTTGCTGATAATGAAGAAGTGGTCCTCATTGTCAAATTCAATCCATCTACATGGATTCTTGATTCTGTCCCCTCCAATCTTCTCCAACAGATTGTCCCTACTATCATCCTCCTTATATCTAACAGTCAATTTCTCCTTATTTATCTCCCTCATAATTTATATACATACATACATACATATATATGTGTGTGTGTGTGTATATATATATATATATATATATATAATTAAGAACATCTCTTACTACACCCAACTATCCCCACTAGTCATCATCTTCTCCCTCTCTTCCATTACTCAACTAAATTACTGAAAATAGGTGTCTAGATTCAGTGCCTCCATTTCTTTGGTCCAGCCACACCAATTGACTAGCTGATCCTCACACTCAACATTCTATCTCCCATTTCTGTACCACTGGGGCCGTGGTAGTTTTGTACTATAGTAAAATAATGCATAAGACCATCAATGAAGTAATTTTTCCCTTAAAAACCCAAGGCAATCTGCTTTAAGTTTTGTCAAATTTGTGTTATTTTAGAGTTGATACTGGCATGGCTATGTCTACCACACCTTCAGTGCTCCCTTCACTTATCTCATCCTTAGAGAATCCCTGGCATCTTTCAAGACTCAGCTCAAAGATCACCTTTCCCAGTAATCCCATTGGCTACTACCTTCCACTCTTAGATAACCTCCATATATCTGTCTGTATTTTGTATATAACTATGTATGTATACTTTTCCCTCTTTTTCATATCCCCAGTGTTTCATAAAGTGCTAGAATATAATAAGCACTTTTTTTAAAAAGTAAGTTAATTATTTGATGTTTTTGGATTCCCTCACCAAGCACTCCCCATAGGGATGAAATCATCAGCCTAGAACTACTCCTTAAAAATAAAAACAAAACAAAACAACAGCTAATAAGACATTAATCACCTCTTAGTCATTGGATCACAGAAAATGGAACTGGAACGGCCTTAGGTATCATCTGGTCATTTTATATAGGAAGATTTACTGAGACCCTCAAAGGTTAAATGCCTTGACTAACTTTACCCAACTAGGAAAGTTTATGGTAATATTTTGCCTCTCCATACAAATCACCAGGCATTTGTGTTGACAGACAAACTCTATAAAGGGGAAGCCTATCTCTTCTTTTCCTGTAATAAACTTCCAAGACCACAAAACAGTATCCTCTCCCACATTCTGACCTCATATAACATTGTATACCTCCCAAGCCATTTTCACGTTTGTGTGTGTGTGTGTGTGTGTGTGTTATAGCTTTTTGGGTGTGAGTGTAAGGACTCTTTTTTGTTGTTATTGTTCAGCTGCTTCAGCCATGCCTTAATCTTCATGATCCTTTTTGGGATTTTCTTGGCCTAGATACTGGAGTGGTTTGCCATTTTCTTCTCTAGCTTATTTTACAGATAAGAAAACTGAGGTAAACAGGGTTAAGTGACTTGCCCAGGGTCACATAACTCGTAAGTGTCTGAAGTTGGATTTGAATGCAGGTCTTCCTGATTCCAGACATGGCACTCTGTCCAATGTGCCACCTAGCTGCTGCTTGATATAGTAAAGGCTCTAACTCATCTCTACTTTGAATATTTTTCCCATTTTGATCACAGTGCTTTGTACATGGGCCTGCTGAATTTGATCCCAGTTCAAAAAGTATCCAGTATTATAGTTCCCTTGCTGGTAAAGTTTCCTTCCTGGGCCACAGGATGACCTGGAAGGAGGAGGGCCCCATTTGATTTGGAAATAAGGAGAATCAAAGAGATGGCTGGCTGGTGGAATTAAAGAATCTATTTCTCAGAGTCTGGAGGCTGGAATAGGCAATCAGATGGCTACACTTGGTCAAGGTCAGAGTTAAGGAATTAAGAGATTCATACTTGACTTTCCTTATTTTTAGTGCTGTTTGAGAACATGCAGCATCAAAGGGAATGAACCTTGGGAGGTTGTGTAGTCCAGTGGTGAAACCACCAGATCCAGAGTCAGAATAATGACTGAGTTTAAATCTCTGTTCTTTTACTTCATTTTATTTGACTTTCAGCAAGGCATTGTCTTATTCTACAAAATGAGGTCAATGGACTAGCTGATCTCTAAGGTTGCTTCCAACTCTGAGTTCCTTCCATCTTCTTGAGGGATAAATCCAGATAGGAAGGCTGACACAACAGGGACATCAAGTTCTAGGAAGAAAGCTAATCTATCGTGGTGGTGGTTTTTGGTGATTGGACCAATGAGGTGGTCTTGACTTGCTAGTGAATTGGATTTACCTGAGGCAGAATTCTGCAAAATTTTCAGCTTCACTGCCTTCTTCAGTTATCGATGTCCAGTGGCAAAAGTTAAAACAAAATGACTAGTGATGGCCCGGGATGCCAGGATCAGATGGAGGACATTCAGGGAGTCAACAAAGCCACGTGTGACTAAATGACTCACCTATCTCCTTGGCAGCAGTCTATTTAATTTAAGTTGTGTGGGGCTATGTCTTGGCCCCTACTTTTTACAGTATATATACATACTTATGCAAATATGTATTCTTGTAAATCCATTTATGTATACACATATGTATGCATATGCAGATATGCCCATAAATATATTCATACATGTGTATACATGTATATGCACACATGTGATTGATATACATATAGGGAAGGGGAAGGCAATTCAGCATCTATTAGGTACTTACTCTGTGGGAGGCACCATACTAAGTGCTTTTCAAGTATTATCTCCTTTGATCCAATGATACAAATAAGTTAATATTTGTAAAAGTTTTGCACAGTGCCTGGCACATAATGAGTACCTAATGAATGATTGCCTTCGTCCACCTTTTCCTCATACACAGAAATGTATATGTTAAACTGGAAGTATAATTTCATCGATTTGGAGAACTCTTGTCCCTGACGCAAGAACTCATATGTAACTTTTCTATGAGGTCCCAGTCCTTGGGGCATGCACTTACATTCTCTGCCTACTGCCAATCCAACATGTGGAACTTTGAAAACTGGTTTTAGTCCTGATTGCTTAGAGATTAGTATTGTTTTGTGGCAGAAAACCTTCTAACTGGCTTTGGAACCAGAAGGCCTGATGGCTCAGGGGGCATGGAGCCATAAATGAGTTTCATTATAAAAGGATCAATATGACCCTCCAACTGACTTTGTGTTGCTTTTTACCCCTGCCAGGGAGAACTCCTGTTGGCATGGAGGGTGGAGGGGGTAGGAGGGGAGTTAGATGCTTTTTCTCCATTCCCCAGTCACCAGCCCAAGCACCTGGAGTCATATGTGTGTGTGTGTGTGTTTATTTTTTCCCCTGATTTTAGGTTATTTGGAAGACAAGTATGTGGAGATAGAATTGACCAGGTTGCAAACTTGCGAGTTTTGAAAGGTCAAAGGGGTCATCAAAGATCTCCTCAGAAACTAGAACCAGTAATCCAACTAGTCAACTGGGGTCAGTCATAGCAGTAGCTGAGTCCAGTAAGGATCCAGCCTAGTTGAATAAGGAAAGACTAATTTATAGATAAAACCATGCCTGGAAGCAAATTTGATTTGGATATCCTGAAGTGAGAAAATGACTCCCAGGGCCACAAGTCACAAGATACCCATCTCAAAAGGATTCTTCTCTTTTTGGAAGTTTGCTTCCAAAGATTTCTCCACTTTTTGAATGAGAATGGACTTAATAGGGGAATGATAATAATAACAATAGCAGCAGCAACGATAATAGTAATAACAAGGCAGGAAGTATTCAGGGGTCTTTTATCAAGAGAATTCATGTCCTTGACTTAGAATATAGACACATACTCACTTTATGCCTTTTTAATTTACATCCCTGAACCCTAGTACTGAACGAGTCAAGGTCTTTTCTTACCTTATTGGGTTGTCCATCCGTGACACTGTGAGGAAGGCAGCCAGGTTTGCTGTATAAGACGAGCAGACAATCAGGGTGAAAAGCCACCAGCTCCCCATGACAATGCGCATGGCCATGGAGTTTGTGGGTGATTCTCCACCTGAAAGAAGCAAAAAACAGTGAAAGGGCTTGGTGGCTCCCTTCCTCAATGACCATTCATGGCTCACCACCACCTTCATTGCCATCAATCATGTTGGTAATCAATCACAGGTCTTGTTACTTTTTTCTCATTTTGCCCTTGGCAAGTTAAAAAGGACAGTCATGAATCCATGGAAGCCAATGAGAACTCAGGGATCCACTGTGAAGGCCCCAAGACACAGTCATACTAGTATCAACTGCCAAGTAACACAAAATTTGTCAAAACTTAAAGTAGACTGCCTTGGATTTTTAAAAATGACTTCATTGGTAATCTTATGCATTATTCCTCTGTGGTACAAAACCTCCAAGGCCGCAAGCTATGATTTGGGATGTTTCCAATTTCCAATTTACATTTCATATTCAAGAAAAAATGTATAAATATGATATTAACTCCCACCCATGGATCCATGTGCTTTTTCTTTTCAGCCTTCAAAAAACATGATGGTATGATGTGCCATGCCATGTTTTTTATTAATATCCTGGCTTCCCTTGATAAATCTTTTTAGAATGTTCTGGAGCTATTATATTTGACTTTTAGTCAAAGGCTGCCCCTATGAGTCCAATTATTTCTCCCAGGTCCCTTAGGTGGTTGCTTAAGAAGGCTCTCAGGGGCACATTGCCTTTCTCCGGCCCACCAGGTCTCTGCTGAGGCAAGAATCAGAGCCAAAAATCACATTAGGAGCTGTGCGAATTTGTAGTTTCCAGACAAAATTTGACAATTCCATAACATCACTGAATACTAACCAAAAAGCTCTGAAAATGCATGAGCTCTAAACATCTCAGGAATACTTGGGCTCTGTTTGGATTCTTGCTAAATAATCTCAATGTTTTTCCCTCAACATTAATATCTTTGAATTAAGCAGAAAGTCAGCTTTCATTTGACAGCATTCTGTGTAAAACGATCCATCAAAGGTAAAATCAAATAAATAAGAGGAAACCTGAACTTCCCAAGTTAATTTTAATTAAAGTGAAGAAGTAGCATGTAAAGGTAGGCCTAGTATAATTTTACTCATTTCCAGGCATCACTGAGATTGAAATAATTCTATAGGTCCTTAGCAATGATCCGGAGCAGGATAAATTATTTTAAAATTTTGTTTGTTTGTTTGTTTTTAAATGAGGCTTTGGGCACTTACCAAAGATCTCCAAGGGCCTTAAGGAAGGGGAACTGAACAAGGATCTACAACATACCTTGCTGTACAAAGGCTCCATAGACAATCCATATGGCACTGTGAAGGGTGGAGGACGCTGATGGACTAGACTGTGAAGAGTTCTGCAACCTGACGGCCTGTATTCTGTTCAGTACAAATATCAAGACACCAACCACAGGGATGGCTGCTGCGATGCAGGCCCAAACAGCAAAGTCAAAAGGAGCAAAGAGAGAGAAAATGTTGATTTTCTCTTCTGGCTTCTTGATGAGAATCCCCACTGAATAATCCATGTACCGTTTGCTGAAGTCTACGACACTCTCCCGCTCTGGTGTGATGGTGATGGCCGAGATCGCCATGTCTGCTCTCTGAAACATAAAGTCAACCAGTTGAATATCTTCTCTGTTCCTGAATGTCCCTTGTGGTTCATGGAAAGAAAGGGGCACTCTCTCTATATAAAAATATATATGTGTATGTGTGTATGTATATGTATATGTTTATTATATATATATATAAATATATGTGTGTATGTATCTATATTTATATATGTATACTATACATATGTTTTATATAAAGGGAGGATGCCCACAAGTCATCATCAGAACCTCCTGTGTTACAAGATATATTTGTTCTGTATTGTTTTGTTCATAAATTGCCCACACATACACACACACACACACACACACACACACACACACACACACACACACTCCTATAGGGACCTGGCTTCCACTAAACCACCCATGTTCTCCCTTTTTTCCTTGAGACTCTGAGTATGCATTTGTGAAACTGATGGCTATAGTTAGGGCTATGATCTGTGACTGGAACCACACAAAGGGTCAAATCCTTGACCATGTCCTGATTAATACAATTCTCTACTGTTCAGTCTGCCACATCCCTTATATATGGCAAATTAATCATCTCTGGGGAAAATCTCAATATCAGATTTATATACAAGTCAACTCTAATCTTTTCCTCACCTTTCCAACCTTCTCATTCCTTTGGAAACACTATTTTTTTTTAAATAAAGCTCCAGATTTAGTTCACAGGCTCTCAGACTTGAAAAGGACTTCAGAGGTTGGGCAGCACAACCTATAAAGCAATGAAAATCCCCTCTACAACATCTCAGTTAAAATATCACCTAGTCTTTCCTGGAGAACTTCTGCTGAGTGGAGAGCCCACCACCTCTCCAGGTAGACAATAACAATCACAGTTTTTGGCAATTCTCATTGCACAGTTTCCATTTAACTCCACTACAGGCTTATTTTTTTCCAGGATCCATTTTGTTCACCTCTAAAAAACATTTACCCTTTCCTGTTTGCCTTTGATCTTCCAGTGTAGGGCTCAATATCAGAAGACCTGGATTCAGATCCTGCCTCAAATTCTTTTAGATAGGAGTGTCACCTTGGATGAATCACTTAAGCTCTGATAACCAGTTTTCTTCATCTTTATGATGGGTATAATAATAATTGTACTAACCTATACCCCAGGGTTATTAAAAAGAAAATCCTTTGTAAATTGCAAATAGCTAGATCAATATATATAATTATTATCTCTTTCTATAGAAGGTTAAGAAC